CTCCCAAGTAGCTGGGACTACAGGCACCTGCCACAACGCCCGGCTATTTTTTGGTTGCAGCCGTCATTGTTGTTTGGCAGGCCCGGGCTGGATTTGAACCCGCCACTTTAGATGTATGTGGCTGGCACCTTGAGCCACTTGAGCCACAGGCGCCAAGCCTGTTCTAGGAGTTTTAGAGGTCTGCATTTTTACGTTTGGTCTAAGATCCATGTCAAGTGATTTTTATGAAGGGTATGAGGTCTGTGTCTAGGTCTGCTTTTTGGATTGTAGGTGTCCAGTTGTTTCAGCGTGTTTGTTGAAGACTCCTTTCTCCCTTGTATTGCCTTTCCTCCTTTGTCAAAGATCAGGTGACCATATATTTGAGGGTCTATTTCTGGGCTTTCTGTTCTGTTCCATTATCTGTTTCTTTTATTTCACTGTCGCAACCCCCAAGGCCCTGGGCAGCAGGAAGGAACCAGGCGGCCCCGGGGATTAGAAGTACAAGCTTGCAGTAGGTGGGCTGACCTTGATTGCAGGGTAGTGGGAGCAACCTCCAGACGGTACAGAACAGGTGAGGGGAGTACCAGACAATGACTGTGGCCTAAGGATTGCCTTGGGCTCAGGCTCTTTGTCCACAATGAACACCTGGGGATGAATTGCCCGAGGGTTCCCCACCCTGCCAGCCGCAAATCCTCTTACTCAGAGGTCGTCTGGCTCTTGTTATTCTCTACACCTCACCATCATAAGTACAGTAGCTTTTTGGTAAATATTAAAGTTGTGTAGTATCCGTCCTCCAACTTTGTTCTTTTCTCTTGATATAGTATTGACTCTTCTGGTCTTTTGCCTCTCCATATAAACTTTAGAATCAGTTTGTTGATATCCACAAAGTAACTTGCTGGATTTTGATTGGGATTACATTGAATCTATAGATCAAATTGGGAAGAACTGACATTTTGACTATATTGAATCTCCCTGTTTATGACTGTGGAATTTCTCTCCATTTTATTTAGTTCTTTGATTTCTTT